TACAATAATTAAAATCTATTTGGTTGTAACAACATTTTTTACTAGTTGTTTTCAACTCTGACCATGGCTGTTTGAGTTAAAAATTACAGCGTGATTTACAGACAGAAGCACGTGTTGCTACCTGGCGATCGATCGATGAATGATGAAGTGACGTTACAGGATCGACGAGAACAGTTACGCGATCGACGAGAATAATTTGACGATCGACGAGAATAGTTACACGATCGACGAAAATAGTGACAGCATTTGTTTTAATACACCATTGACGAGAAATGTTTGACAATTGAATTGACGAAAATTGATGCTGAATTTATGATAGGGTCGTTTAAACTTGAAACTGAATCGCTGGGAAGGCAGTGAATCAACGAAACATAACTGAATCAACGTCATGAATTTTTGCCCTTTTGGCCACCTATAAACTTTAAGTATCCCCCTGTGCATTGTACATTTGGTCAACCAGCTAGTGCATTATGTAGTTTTGAAATAAGTACTAAAGGCTGATGTGCTGAACCAAATCTTTCAATAATTCTTAAAGAAACACTTTAGAAATGTTTCATCTTCTGTCAATCATACAAATTATTGTAGGATTGCAAGAAAAAGTTAAAATGAAATTAAAAAAAAAAACAAAAAAACACTAATTATTTCTTATAAATTAAAATGTTCCTTTCAGAAACGTTCCAGCAGCCACAATACGGTCAGACGCCTTAGATTATCTTGGACCCTCGCTCAGAGTGGAAACACAGGAAGGTGGTCCACAAGATTGGGAAGAGGGAGGGGGGAGATCTAAGGTATTTAATTTATTAGTCAAAAACTTTTTTATTTTATTTAATCAGAGTACTTTATTTAAATTATATTTAGAAAAAATGTATTAAGGAAAACAAATTGGTGTTACTTGAACTGAAATAAGGTATACAATTTTGTAAGAGGAAGTAAAAAAAAATGCAATGCAGAACACAAAAAATCAATATGTGGTCATCTTATCTGTAAGTCTGATTTATTAATTTCAGATTTTAAGAAATATTAATGTTCTGGATCACTGAATTTAGGACTTTTTTTCCAGAGAACCTCCAGAAGCAGGACAAAGAAAGATTTGTGAAACAAAGGAATTTGTGATTTGCTAATTTAATTTTTGTGGTCAATTTATTTTAAATGATATAAATTAATTTTAAAGTATTTGTTATCTGTACCCTCTAATCGCAGTGTTATTGATTATACGTGAGGAAAAAACAAATTTATATTAGATAAACTGCTGAAAAAAATCTCATTTTTTGTTCAGACCGTTCATGATGTGAAGTTCTGACCTAAAGTTACCTGCAAGTTTTGTAGATGAAGTAGGTCATAGTTATTGGAATGTGCCAGTTTGTTAAATAATGCAATTAAAAACGGCTTTTTATCTCCCGTGAGGAGAATGTCTTGTGCAACTCAAACTTTGAGGCCAATGTAACTGTTAAGGTTGATTAACAAGAATGTTATGGGAGTGATTTAACTTTCCATCAGTAAATGTTTGCAGTGCAAACTAAGGGGTTTTTCTTAACAGACTGGAGAAATAATTTAAGAAATTGTGTTTAACACAAGCACTAACTTAGTGCTTGTGTTCTTAATGTTAATAAATGTCTCATAACATGGGACACTTCCTGAAAAGTTGTTTTTATCTGACATTCTGTTCATTCAAACAGAATTTTCAACTCCTTATGTTGATTATTAAATCATGCCCGATTATTGCATTCAGAAATGCACTTGGCCTGGATGTGTATAAACATTGACTGACAGAGATTTAACAAATTTTGAAAGGTCTTTTATTCAGAATAAGTTAATAACAATAACACAAGAAGAGCCCAAAAAAACTTTTCTTCTTCATGTAGCATGAGGTGATGAGAGCACATCAATTCCAATATCATACTAATATTTATATCTGATTAATTTATTAACCAATAATCTAACTTTTCTTGGAAATATAATGGGACTAAGATGGGATACACATGCGATATGAAAACAGTGCTCAAAACTGATCCACATCATTTTCCTTAACAAAATCTACAAAAATATTCCTACCTGGTGAGGTGTATAAATAAAACTTGTGAAATGGATTCTTATCTTCATTGTTAATACAAGCTGATATTTATGATAATCATATAAAAATTTTCTGTTCAAGAAATAATTATCTTGCACCCTTGTCTTCCTATTTACAAAGAATATTGCACGCTCTTGAAAAAAATAATAAAGATACAGGCAAAAATATAAATGCAAAAACTGACCTTTCCCTTTTAAAATGGGTATAAAATAAAAATTACAATTAAAAATCAGAATACAGCAATTGACTCACATTAAGATAATTTCTCATTTATCAAAAGAGCGTCAAGACTGTTGGGCCAATTTTCCAGAAATAACTAATGCTTACAATGACCCAACACAACACTTTAGCCTTCATAACAGGGACATTACTCTAGAAGGTCAAGGAATGTATACAGGTAATTTTAAGAGTGCTTGTTATCCATGTTATGATACATGAGAAAATATATAATTACTCTAGGACACTCTAAAATGTTGGAACATTTACATTACTCAATATATAGGGGCAAGCAAAAGAGATGAAATTCTGAGCTAGAACACATTAAATATCTACATCTCTATATATTTTCATATCACAAATCGGTTTGTGGAACACCAAATTTCAACACATTAAATGAACATAACAGTGAACTTGAGCATATGTACTGTTTGTTGGTTTTTTTTTTTTTTTTTCCAGTCCTACTTGGGACTTGAATTTAAAGCTGGGTGTGCACAAAATAACTGGCTTGACTCTGGTTTAGTACAACCCACAACTGGATCTGGCTGTGTTTTGGGACTGAAGAGACTATGAAATCTAATCTCCAGTAGACAGTTGACATTAAAGCAGACCATACACGCCTGGGTTTGGTGCCCACAATTTGTGCGCCATGTTTTGGCAGCTGTAAACTAAGCATTGTTTCTTATCTGAGTTACACAATACTGGATCCTCAAAATGTTGCATCTTCAGTACTTGGCAAATATTTAATTGAATATGCCTGATGCATATACTGGTATATATATCCTTTCAGGATTTGATCACTTCAGAGTTGGTAAATTATGAAAAGAAAACCCTCTTCTTCCTTTTACTGCACAATAGATATAGACTACATGGTAGGCTGAAATTAGAAATGGAACAAAACTGTATGACAGGAAAATCAATGTAACAATCATGCTTTTAGTAGTAAAGTGTCTTCTATATTTGATAAAACATAACAGCACAGCAGTACTAGATTGGTGCTGTTGTTGAGGGGTCTTTCTTATGGCCACTGGCTGTTGTAATGTAAATATACCATAGACTGGCATTGTTGTATTCTTTTTCTTTACTTCTCTCTCCTTTAAACATACATGATATGCTGTATTTATACTTTCTACATGAACTTATACACCTCAACAGTCTTGGGTTTAATAAACTACAAGACTGTTCCACATGCTCTCAATACTGAATGCTTAAAATAAATAATCTTACAGAGCTTTTCGGCCATATATAACCACTTACCTCCTGGGATGAAACAGATTCCACCAGCAATGAAGAAAACAAAACTCTGAACGGCTATAAAAGACAACAACAGCCAATTCTTACTTATCAAGGCAAAGAAAACATTGAAGAAAATTTTGCTAGTATCCCAATCTCTTACAATAAGACCAACATGAATTTTATTACAAATACCTGCAAAGCTTTATACTGCATTTGAACATACCCAATATATGTGAAACCCTGAAGCTAAGAAATTATGCCTGATGAAAATAGTTTTCTGATGACTGCAGTGGGAATTCTTGGCACACCTGAGTTGCCGAATACAGGCCAATCTATGTGTGTGGGCTTATTCTCCTTAATTCTCTCAGCAAAATCAGTAAATTACCAATCTGTTATAGATCCATTTCTCTCTCAACAAAGGTTAAAGAGCACTGATTTCTTTAAAGTTAACAACTTCTTCCAGATAACTGAGATTTGAACACAATAAAAAAATAAAGACAATCTCTATTAATTC